CTATATTAGGCTTGAATCAAAGGGAAACAGCTCGGAAACCGATTGGTAGTATTTTTATCTGTTACTGACCGAGTTTTAGACTCGTGCGATGGCCACAAGTCTATAAAACTGTATAAATCGGCATGTATAGAGTGATGTTCCTAACCTCAAAGCACCTCTACAGTTTTACCCCGCAAAACTAAAGCGGCGGATTGCGGCAGCCGTTCTCAGTCAGAATCAGTTCACTAATGTTTGAACTTTATTCCAATGTGCACGAAATCGCGGCAATCGACGGCAATCGTTTTATAACTCAATTCAAAGATATCGGGTCAAGAGATAAAGTCTCGATGCAGGTGTCCAAAAAACACTATTTTTATCGTTAAAAATGCAAGATTGATTTTAATTGTCCTGCATATTTCGAAAGATGAAGTGTCGAACTACAACTCTCTTAACTTTGATTTTACATTTAGGCTCCTGTTTAATGGAAATTAGGAAGTAAAATACGTGTAATTTGCGCGGGAAGGAGCGCGCTGATTGCGCTTCTGATGACCAACTTTTGAGGGCTTATAGAAAATAAATGTGATGGCTTAAAAATATGAGAGTAACTGTTTTAGATGCTTCGAACATTGTAGATTCGCCCTGGACAAACAAAATAGTTAGTATGACAAAGTGAAAATTTGGAATATGTCCACCTTTTTCGAGATCTGCCGCACTGTGCAGCGCCCCGAGCGCGCCTGCGGGCGGCGAGCTAGGCAGACCCGCCACGCTCCTCGGCGCCTGCGGATCGGCGGGTCGGCACCCAGTCTGACGCGCCGCTCCGAACGGCTGCCTACCTCACGGCGCTCACATCCTACCTTCGTTTCCTTCCCCTGCAGATCGACGACTACGACCGGCTGTGGGTCATGGACCGCGGCGACGACCAGCAGTGTCCGCCCAAGCTCATGACCTTTGACCTCAACAATGACCGCCTGCTGTCCAAGTACGAGTTCTCCTCCAACCTCCTCGTGAACAGGTCCAACCTCATCACCCCGGTGGTAGACGTCCGCGACAACGGCCGCAACACGTTCGTCTACATAGCGGACGTCATCGGGGGCATCATCGTTTACGACCACCAGGTACGCAGCTCCCCTGCGTATGCTAATGCGGAGTTGACGCACGCTCACGCACAGCGGACACATCCTGGCCGGTGTGGTTTATGGGTGGCATGGGCAACCGGCACCGGATTAACATTATTCGGCACCTCTCTGGCTCGACTGTCCAGGTTGGCGTTGACGTTGCCGTGACACCCGGGAATTTAAATGCAGGTTCGCGAGGTCACGACAGGTGCCCCCCC